ATACCACACAGGACCCCACGCTGGGCTTGCATTAACTTGTTCCCGCCCTCAGGTCTTTATTTCTACTGCCTTTGTCTTCAAAGCGGCTGTGAGCACTTGCCCTCAAAGGGCCCCTGATTTCAGGGGGATTTCCTTGGCTTACTTTTCTTTGCTCTCCCCCTGTGTGCCCTGGACCTCATGTCACTGAGAAGTACTCTTTCTCTGTGAGGCTGAACAGGACGGACAGGACCCTGGGAGCAGTCAGTGGGTCACTGGCTTCACGGCCCTTCCTGCAAGCTGCTGGACCCCTTGGGCTGGTATGTTATTTAGGATTTTCTCCTTTTTATTGAGGGCCCCCCCATTCATCCTGACTCAGTACAGCCACAGAGCTTCAGGGGCTTTGCCGGTTTCATCTCTGTCCATCCATCACATCTGAGGGCCCAGCATGGCCTGGGTTCTGCTGCGCGCCCCCTCCCGCCTGCCCCCGCCAAGCCTGCAGGTGACACCCAGTTGATGTTGGGATACTTGGGACCAACGAAAGAACATAACTTTGGGCAACAAAAGATCCTACCCACATGCTTGACAGCTCAAAGCCCCTCATGCTGTTTTCAGGTCTTCTCTGAAATAGCAGAGTATCATTAGACTGTCAGTGGTCATTGAACCCATGAAGACACTAATGTGAGGGGTGCAGGTTTGGAAGTAAATAACCATCTCCCTGTGGAGTACCTGCCGCAGTGGCTAGGGAGCATACACTGTGAGCACTTGGGACCTGCAGCCTGTGGATCACAGGGGCCCTTGCCCAGCAACCCACTGGTTGCTCTAAGGAATCACCACTATTAGAATTAGTTGGGTTTTTAGACTCAGTGCCCCGTTTGCCTGGTTCTCCGCCTTCAACGACTACATTAATGGCTCACTGAGGCAGCCTGTGTGACCCTGAACTTCCTGGGAAGAGACCAGAATAATACTGAGAGCTCTGAAATAAGCAGAATAACTCTTGGCATTCATCCAAGCAGAGTGACCAAATCCTGCATAAAGCGAGCGATTTCAGTGAACTGCCCGAGCAATTTGACAAGGGACTAAAAGGCATGATTTTGAATACTTTTTGCACAGCTACCTACTTATGGAAGACACCCTCTGAAATGCTCCTATTAGGACGTGTCCTCTCGTCAGTGCCTGCCGCACGTTGGTTTCCTCTCCTAGCTTTGCAGACGTCATCTTTAAGCTTCTAGTATCCTTGTTTGGTAGAAGATGAAATTGAAGCTCCCTGAGATTAAGTAACTTCCCTAAGCTGGAAACACTCTGCCGAGACCTTTTGGAAATCTACATAAGCAAATGAGATTAATGAGTCTCATGAAAAATAATTTGGAAGCTACTGAATGTGGTTAGGTTGGAATCCCCATGTCCAGAAGAGAAGCTTCAATAGCTTGTCTGACGAACTCACTAGTGAAAAGCAGCCCTACTAAAAGGTCATACATTCAGGGTACTTCGAGAAACATAAATTGGCCCACGGCCACTGGCCCCGTTCAAAGAATACTGGCCCTTCCCTGGCTGTGTCCTAACCTTGTACACCAGAGCAAGCCCATGCCCTCACTATGAGAAGTGCGTTTAGAGGCAGAATTTGTCACTGGATTCAAAGTTATGGGCTCCACGGTGCACAGAAGATGCCTGTCCTCACTCGGCAGGTAAATCCTTTACAAAGCAGGCTGTGCATGCTTAATTGGGGGTGGAGGGTGGACAGAGAAATTGATTTTACCCAGCCTCCAAATCTTCTCCACCGTTGATGACTTTATAAAGTTTAGAATATTTTCCTAGGAAAACTCTACTGATATTATAATTTGGCCATGGAATTCTTTGTCTTGTTACATAGTGAATATATGATAATCTACATAGAGCGAAGCGCGCTTTCATTTTTTGCCGTGAGGTGCAGTGGCAACACCTATTCCCTGGCTTAGACTGAGTACATGAAGTAAGTCCTATGAATTCCTCCGTTAAGGTGACGGTCCTGGAGCATGCCCTTCAGAGGACTGGTCTGGTGCTCAGAGGAGCAGAATGTTAAATTTTCAGGATTTTGTGAGCTGGCTGCAACTGGCCATGGTAGCAATACTGATGCCATGGAAAGCAACAAATGCTACCCCCGCCCCACCCCCGGAACCAGCTGACAAAGAGGTGCCAGCACACCTGTCCTCCACCCTCCCACTCTGCGCTGGACCCGGACACCCAGGAGAGGGGTGGATGACAACCTTTCTCTGTCCACCTGTGAGGCTGCCGTCCTCTCCGATTCTGACATACAAGAGAGTGATGGAAAATTTTGAGTTTGGGCCAAATTCATGACCATGGGCGTGTGGAAGAGGGCCACCTTCAGGGTGGCCTTGGAGTTTGAAAGCACTGAGTCACTGTTACGTGAGTCCAGAGGGCTCAGAGACACAGGTTTGAAAATGAAGGATCTGGAAGAGATGTGGGAATTCACCAGGATATAGAACCACCTTCCTGCCGTGAGCCTGTCCTGTGCCAGCAGCAGCCGAACTGGGCATTGATTTTTAAAGTCAAGTCACCCTTTCCCTTGATCGGTGGAGCCCAGTGCTCACACAGTGAGGAGCCCAGCACTCTGCCTCATTTGGGGGAAACTGGCGTGATGGACTGACGGACTTTTGGGGTGATGGCAATGCTGTGTCCTGTGCAGGAGCCAGTCAACACACGTGGCACTTGAGCACCTGCAGTGTTGTCCGTGCAACTAAAGAACTGAATTTACAATTGTAATTAACTTGAGTTTGAATTTCTATAGCCACATGTGGCTGGTGGGTACTGTATTGGACGGAGCAGCTCAGGGCTTATAGGAAGAATATTGATGGTAGCCTGTGTGCTGAGAGTGTGGAGGGGACATTCATCACCCTGGACTGAGATGTGGGGCTGCTAAGTGTTCCCCGAACCCCAACACCTTTGCCCAGCAAGACCAACCACTACTGGTCCCGCTGCAGATATGAACCCATTCAGGTGCACCTGGTGCTGGACTCACTGCATTAGAAGGTCACCCCGTATCATCCTCTCCCTCCATCTGCAGGATGAATGCTGACCTCCAACTTACAGGTGAAGAAACGAGGCACAGAGGGGTGCAGCCCTAGCCCCAGGTCTTCAGAGTCAGAATTCCCACCTAGAGGTATCTCACCAAGTACAGAACCACTGTGTAGACCGACAGACAGGGTTGCCAGGAACTCAGAGGATCCCATTTATAACCAATGTCCACCCTTGTTCTGATAGTGTGCGGAGCCCACGTGTATAACGTGGTTCTCGTCTCATGGGGTGTTTAGCCTTGGCGGTGTTTAGTTCCGCACATGCCCTCGTGAGCATATGCACTAGCAGATGCGTTTGGCTCTATTCCATTTGGTGACTTTTCTTCCCCGCCCCCCCCCCCCCCCCCCCCCAACTAGTGAGGTTGGATTCTTCCTATTTTGCTGCCTGGTTTCAGTCACTACAAGCTCTTTCAAAGTCAGCAATCGGGTCCCTGTTTGGGTTTTAATTCTTCTATGGAAATGTGGTCTCCCGATCGACAGACCCATTGCAGAACCAGCTTAATGTGTTGCTTTCGGTCGTGCAGGTATTCAAGCCTAAATGACTGAAATGGGATGAAAATGGAGATGTAAACCCAGATCTGTAAAAGGCCTTTTGAAAACACTCTGTAATGTTAGGTTACTGCTAATCTCCTGTTAGACTATTTTATGACTGGCTAGCAGCTTAATACCATCCACTGCAAACAGTACTTTGTATAAGGGGGTGGGGTTTTCGAGAGTCTGCTGCCCAGTGCATGGGCCACCTGCCCTGAGCCGGAAAAGCCAGCCTCTGTGGCCTTAGCTGAAGCCTCACCTGCGGCCCCGGAGTATACAGACTGTGTCTTTCCCTGGGTCTGCGGTCTGCAGACACCGTATAACTGAACCACAACAATCCTCTTGAGGAAACTGTACCACGTGGTGTGTGCCCTGACGGAATATTTCTTGGCTTACCTTCACACCGGCTACTGGCTCACTCAACCAGGGGTAGGGGCCACCGGGTGGGGAGGTACTCTGATCCCACCTTCAAACCTTGCCTGGAGGGAATCCAGACAGTGTCGGGGGGAAATGGGAAAGAGAAAGCCCGGCAGTGAAGGCAAAGGCTGGTAAGCTGTGGGCACTGTTTCGAGAAGCGTGGAACTTTTGTTTCAGCGGAGCCCACGACCAGACTCACAGGAGCCTTCCTAGCAAAGGGCTCAAGGTTAGCATCCTGTCGTTAGGTCGTTTGCTTTTAAGTTTGCTGCTGCACAATGTCAAGTTCAAAAGATGGGAAACAGGGGTCAGCTATCTGTTGTCGATGCCGGACCGTCTGGGCCGCTAACTGGGTATGGTTCCCCCTCTGGCGAAACGGACACGTGAGACCCGTCCGGGGAAAAGGCACAGCCTCCTCGTCGTACACAGACAGGGCTTGCCTGAGGGTAGGCACTGCTTCTAGCCGCTCCACAGGAGGACAGAGAGAAGTCTCATCTATTGTGTGAAACCTTGTACAGTCCTAAATGTCAACATTCTTCCGACGACCTAATATAACCAAGTCAGCATTTGCCTTGCAGAAAGCCACCTCAATTCTCTTCTCTAACGTAACCTGATTCCTGTGAGCTTCCCATTTAGAGAATTTGGACTGGCGGACCCTCTTAGACTTCCCCAGTACCATCAACCTTTAGTCTCAGGGCATATAACGGAAAAAGACCCATCAATTCATTCATTTAAAATACAGGCATATTGTTTGAACTCCAGGCCGGGCAGCTGAATGCCAACCATCAAGTAATAAACCTTCACGGCGAGTACGCAGTGATGTCTAGCATCGTAAAATAACCTTGGGCCCCCTTGAGCTTGAGCCATCCTCAGATAACTGCCTATTCACAGACATGCTGGCGTTAGTCTCACTACGGATCTGGGTTTTGGAGGCTACAGAGGGACCCTAGGTGTGTGTGGGGGGGAGATGAGCCCGCACGGCGTCAGGAGAAACATGGGCATACATACCCTTCCCGATGGGCCTCTCCTTTCTCCAACTCCTGAATGACCCCCAAGAGCACTTTGATGGTTTCCTGGCTTGAGCTGATCAGGTCCTCCATCACCTGGAGCTGTGCTTTCAGGTCGACGACTTCCGTGTGAGGCACGATTTGTCGGGATTCTCCACCCGCAGCGGCCGCCGCGCCACAAGGCTGGCTCTCCTCCTCCGGCGGCGCCCGGGGCCGCAGGGGCCGCTCGCTGCCCTCGGGGGACAGGCACAGCTTCTGGGGCGAGCGGGCTGCGGCGAGTCCCTGGTGCCCATTGAGGCGCGAGGCTCTCCTCCGCCCCTGGTCGGCCACGGGGCACGGCGGCCACTCGCTGCCGGTGGCAGAGTCTGACAACGCGGCCTCCAGGGCCTTCGCGCCGGGGGCAGGTGCATAAACGGCAGCCACCTCCGTTTTGAACACCGTCCCATGGGCCGGCGGAGTGGCCTCCTCCGTGTCCGGGGTTGCCATGCCGTGCTTTGCTGTCCCGTGCAGCTGGTGGTCGGGCTCCTGGGAGGGGGGCCGAGCGGAGTCTCCGAGAGGGTCCTCTCGGCAGCCGTGCGCATCGGGGGTCTCGCCTGGCTCTGCACAGTTGAGCCCGGCGGGCTGGTCCAGCTCATTCACGTGTTCCTCGGAATGGAACACCAAGGCCGCCGTCTTGTGCACCCGGCCGGCACCCCAGGGCCGGGCTTCATCCCCCAGCCCTTCCTCTTGCTTCTCAGCCACGAACCCATTGTTTTGACTTTTAAAGGCATCCGCAGCCGGGATGCTTTTGAGATTCCCTTTTTTGCGGTCCAGGGGGAAGGTCTGGTAACACTTTTTCAGGTCTGGCGAGGTCTGCACGCCCGTGCTCTTGGTGACGTTGGGGATGGACCTCCGCGCGGGCACGGTCATGTACTTGCGGTGGGCCGCTCGGTAGGACAAGGGCCTCGCCTCCCGCTTCTCACCCGGCTGTCCCGCCGACAGCTGCGCGTCCCTCTGCTCATTCTGCGCCTCGCAAATGTCCTTAAACCGCACCTGCAGGGCTTTATTCCGCTTTTTAATCTGCCGGTTGGGATCCAGGGCGTATTTCATCTCCAGGGCCAGGCAGGCGGCGGGTTCGACTTCGGTCTCTGACGTCGTAAGTGCGCATTTGCCGGTGTCCTTACTGACCATGATTCCTGCGTTCAGAAACATCAACACAGGCATCAGTGCAACAGATTCACACCCACGAGCACAGGCACACACAGCTCCTAGCTCACATCGCTCCCGCCTGCTTCCTAATTATTTTTAAACAGGTGAGCTTGGCCTTTATGTTAAGGAGAATCAGACAGGTGGAGAATCGCTGGCAGGCACAGCTTGAAATGCTTCCCCGATATGAAAGCCTGCCTGCTTTTCCATGTGGGCTACACTCGTTTCTTTTGATAGTAATGCATGTTTCCCCATTAGACAAACCTGTTTTACTATATTCATCAAGAAACCCAACGATGATGCCTCTTCCGCCTTCAAATTATCATTTCGCATACACGCCTCCACTTCATAGGCAGATGGTTTTCCAAATGCATCTGATTTGGTTTGGGCTTTTACTAGTTTTTTGAGGATGACGTGATTAATCTATTACTGGAATCCAGGGGAATTGGGTGTTTTCTCACGGGGGATTCGAGGTCCTGATCAGATACATGTGGAGTGCCCTACACTGAGGGATGGAAATAACCCCCATTTGTCTGTCTTTGCCATTATGGATGCCGTGGGACAGCGGGGCACGCTGCTCTACGGGAACACCAGAAAGGGTTAATCTCTGCAGTGTGACTTGCTGCTAATGGGTTAACTCTCACCCTAGAAAGAACATGGATTTCCCTGCATCGATAATGCCAGTGTTAGCAGCTCTTTTCTTTGGTTCTGTGGAGAGTGGTATTTGAAAAAGCATTAAAAAAAAATTATTCATTCTAGAATCAAGTTTTGTGTTTTGATCACAACCTCCGAAAATGCAAACAATGGTGGTTGTTTCAGTATTTGAATCCCGAAAGAAAATAAAATCACAAGGCTTTATGTTAATCATGCAAATTCATCTCGGGCTGAATTATTAAATGCATCTAAAAAGGTGCAGGTGGCCAATGATCCCTCTCGGGGATGCCAGTGGGGTAAATGCCTTCACTTTATCAGGCAGATTCACAGCTGCTCATTGCACGTGGAAGAATTTTCTTGAGGGCCGAACTTAAGGGAAGAAAATAGAGTTATGTTGCTTGTGAGTTAGTGCCAGAGAAGAAAACAGTCCGATGGGAGGAAGCGGGTGTGCAGGGCCCTGGCCTTCGAGCATCCAGAGAGGCAAGGTCACAGACGTGAGCCAGCTGAACAAGCATGGGCCCGGGCCTCACTGCCCAGTCTGCCTGTCCACAGGTCCTTTGTGGGGGAGGGGTGCAAGGGGAGCCCGTGAACCTGACCCTGAAACCTCCAGGGGCTGGGTGAATGTGTGGGCCGCCGGGGGCACCACTGATGCATGTAGACTATACCCAACACCTTTAGTGCCCTGCAGCCCATTTCAAGGAAGGAAGGTGGGGTTCAGAGAGGTTATGTCACTTGTTAACCTCACACAGCAAGAAGGACATTCAAGCAGGAGCAGGATCCTGATCTCCCCGATGTGAGTTCATGCTGTTTCCCGTGACCTCAGGTGTCCAACAGACAGGCAGGGCACCTCCCCACAGCCTTAATTCTTTTTTTAAAAAAAAATTTAATGTTTATTTTTGAGTGACACAGAGAGAGGAACAGAGTACAAGCAGGGGAGGGGCAGAAAGAGAGGGAGACACAGAATGTGAAGCAGTCTCCAGGCTCTGAGCTGTTAGCACAGAGCCCAATATGGGGCTCGAACTCCTGGACTATGAGAGCATGACCTGAGCCGAAATTGGATACTTAACTGACTGAGCCCGCCAGGCGCCTCTCCACATCCTTGATTCTTACTGGGTAGGGTGACGTGACACTGGACATGGTCATCCGGTGGAGGAACAAAATTGGGTGGAGCCCAGAGCCTCCCTTTGAGTGGGTTCTAGTACTGCCTCTCCCTGCAGCCGGGGAGCCCCGTTAAACTGGCCCTGGTACTTGGCAGGTCTCCGCTACAGTTAACTGAATCAAGTTAGAGAGAACTTAATTATGTCATCACTTCTGCCGTGATGAGGACCCAGCTCCCATGTTAGAGGGCAGTGGAAGTGAGCTTTGCAGAAGTTGGTTTCGGCCGGACCAGGGTTTCTCAGCCTTGGGATGCCTGGCATTTGGGGCTGGGCGACTGTTTGGGGGAGGCACTCTTCTGTGCACATAGGACTGTTCAGTAGCATCCCAGCTTCTGCCCGCTAGATGCAAGGAGCACCCTCCCTGTGTGCCAGATGGCCTGGGGCCAAGGGGACCCAGCCACCCCCTGGTACGAACCACCTCACTGGACCTCTCCCCTTGAGTGGCTGGAGTATGTCCCCGGAAGGGAAGGGCCTGGGAGAGCAAAGTGAATGACCAAGAACAGATGCCAATGTCCCAGCTCCTGAGGTGGGGGATGGGTGTTCTGGAAGGTGCCGTTTTGAAGGGCTAATCTGGAAAAGACCCAGCTCCCTGCTGAGCCAGGAGGGAGCCACCCCCTCGGTGCCACTGCCACATCTGTGTGTCCCCTGACAACAGAACTAACCAAAAACAGTCACTCTCCTCAGTAGTCTGGAGAAGGCAGAGAATAAGCCTTCTTTGGCTTTTAGGCTTTACTGGGCTCTGAGGCTCTCCGGAGGTCTTCGTAATTTGGAACTTTAAACACTGGGCAGTTTTGGAGAGAGCAGTAAAGGAAGAGAACAGACTGGAGCCACATCATGTTCTGGTTCTGTGCTGGCGGGTGGGGTAGAGCATGCCTGCCAGGGATCGATAATACATAATACATATCTTTTATAGACACTTATCCCAACAGATAAAAATGATGCCCACAGAAGGACTTCATGTGGGGAAGGTTTGGAGGAGGTGGGGGTATGATGAGAAAATTAAATCTTAACCCTCAGTCTTATCTTGGAGTCATTCTTGAGCTACTTTTGTTGCCCTGCTATGTCATACCGTATTGTGCCTTCATTCTGCAGAAGTCCTTCCTACTAGGGAAAATTTTAAAGGGAGAGCATTTTTACAAAAAGCAATTTACTAGTAATTTTTCAGCCTTTTCCCTGCCACCACTGAAAAATGTGTGTCTGAATAAGTTTGTCCTACCATGCTATTCATCATCACGATTTGCCAGGAACTGCACCGAAATAATTTTCTTACATCCGTCCGCTGGTTTGGAAAGATATTCTGAATCTTGGACCCAACCATCGAACTAATAAACCAAATCAGAAAAATTAATTGCCAGTGGCAAAATAATAATAATAAAACAACTCCAGGCTCCTCTCTGTTTTACAGGGAGTTGCTAAGTATATAAAAGTCATTTTCTTGTTAGTAGAAATGATGGTGATAGTTAGGATTCTTGTGCTCCGTGTCGTTTGCTGATGAATTTGTTTTTAAATAGAAATGGAATTGTCTTATCTCACCGATAAGAAAGACATCAAGGAATACTTGTTGATGACTTATTGGGACCTCAGATGGAGATCTGTGCCCCTTTTGATGGCTGGGTGGCATTTATTCTAAAGCTTTAGGATGGAATTTTCCTGGGCACTGAGAAATTAAATGGCTGGACCTTTCCAGGGTGTTCACTTACTGTTTATTGTGGGGGGGGGCGGCGTGTACAGGCTGGTAGTAATGATTGAGGAAATGATTTTTCATGAAGGGAAATCAGGTGTCCCACAGAAGACATTCTACAAGTCGAACCTTCCGGCACACCGTATTCAGTCCTCATCCCTTCATGCATTCATTCAGCACATGAGTGTGCCCGTGTTACAGTGATGGGTCAAGTGCAGTCCACATGTTCTCCTACTCCTCGCCAAATGCTAGCCTTCTCTGCACTTCACATGGTTTTTCTCCTTGACCTTCACTCTTACTATCCTCAAGCTGCAGATGGAGAAATTGAGGTCCAGATTTGTTGTTTTTCCTTTTTCTAATTTGCCGAGAGTCCTGTAGCTCAAGGGCCCCACCCTGCATCCCTGTAAACCCCGGGCACTGACCCGCTGCCCTGCCCAGGGAAACCTAGAGCCTCTAAACTAAGTGCTTCGCAATGAACTTGAGAAAGCATCCAACGGCTGGCCCTCATCTCAGCGACTTTCCTGGCCTGTTCGTCACCAGGCATGTGGGTGCTGGTGACGCGCAGAACCTCCAGGTAGGTCCCGGGACCACACCTGGCCCTGAGCACAGACTCGGTGGGGGGCACCCAGAGTGTCACGCTCCTCTTGAAGCCACAGTGGCATTTTCACCGATGGCTCGCCTTGGCTGTGTCGCCTCCAAGGAGTGCGGGCTCTGGTTCTTGGAGTGAATCTCTTGGTTCCAAAGCAGCAGGACTTCAAGAAGTTTATTTTTCAAAAGAAAATTGTGTTTGGGGATTCATCGGACTGTGTCATCTCGAGGTGAAAATGGCGAGTCACGGTTGAGCCTGTCTGGCTGGGGAGAGCTGGGTGTGGAGAAGCTGTTTGGAATGTAAATGTCTTAATTACCCTCAAATTAAAGTGCATAATCAAATGTGAGTTGTAAATATATAAACCCTGTATTTTTAGATTAGTGATGGAGAGTCGTCTCTGCGTGTTCCTTTAAATTAATAGCTTATATAAAAATGTTCACTCCGGCCCAAGGAGTGAAAAATGGAAGCAACTAAATGCCTAACAATAGGTAAACGGTTAAGTAAATTATGGTGTACGTTCACTCAGTGAGGCCATTAAAATGATAATTATAAAGATTATTTAGTATCATAGAAAAACACTTACGAAATAATGGGAACTGAAAGAAAGCAGTCTACCAAATTGTACTGGCAGGAAATGAACAAACATGGTCACCGTCGTGGTGGCTTAAGATCATGCATTTTGGGGAGATTTGTCTTCTTCCTTCTGTTTTCCAGTTTTTGCTGGGGGAGCTGGAATGTCATTGTGTTGTTTGCCAATTACAAAACCACAGGGCAAAGTCAGCCCGCACCTTAGGCAGAATGACAGGATCAGGCCGCTGGAAAGCATAAACACTTGCATCACAATAAGAAAAACCCAGAAATGATTAGATTTGGGTACATGCAGCCTCCCAAAGGTCATCTTTTATTGTC